CACCTACGACGCCATAGACAATGACATGACTTACTCTTTTTGTTCGTAAATAAAAGTGTGTTCTCCGTATAATTTAAACTTTTAAATGAGATGGATCATACAACTCAACATGATGTATCAAGGTAGATATGACTTCAAATATCGTCACCCGTGATATATATATAAATATGAATTGATTAATCATAATTTAGAAGTCTATATACAAACACATGTCATGTATCTATTGGTCTGATGTAAACATCTCACGCATGTAACAAGCCCAAAGAGTCGATCAACTTATATATATAGTCATAGGAATTGATAAACTTCAAATTCTAAAATCACACGTACAATAATCAACTCAATTATTAATAATGTACTATTCTTTTTTAGATCTATAAATAACATAAGCCCCCCCTTACTAAGTACTCAAGTCAAGTCTACCATTTGAAAGCTCAATTTGGACTTATAATACCAAATTTTCTCTTCTTCTTTCTTTGAACACAAAGTGAAAAAAAAAATGTTGTATTCTTGTTCATCATTGCTATTTTCTTTACATTATGTGATGTTTTTGTATCTACTATGCGAAGGAAAGACGCAACTGCTATCCAAAAACTCGACTATAAAAGCCGTTTTTGCTTTCGGAGATTCCATCGTTGATCAAGGAAATAATAACAATATTACAACCATAGTCAAGTGTAATTTCTCTCCTTATGGGAAAGATTTTGTTGATGGAAAGGCAACCGGAAGATTTACTAATGCCAAAACGCCCGCTGACTTGATAGGTACGTCTTTTCATGTCTACTTCAATTGTTGAGTTGATTTTATCGTCATTCAACTTTTACTTTATTGCATTAAATTTACTGGAACTATTACGTCTTATAACATTATCAATCAAATTTGTTGAAGTATGGAGATTTGAAAATCACTAAACTATTTTTTTTTATTGAACTTTGCCTAAAAATCATAACAAGTTATTAATTTTTATTTTTTTTTGGTAACAAAAGGTTATTCAACATTAACTTTACCTAATTAGTAAGATTTTTTTTTTGATAAAAAAACAAAAAGATAAAAAATCGGGGAAGGGATTATAAGGTGGGAAATCGAAGGCTCATTAATAAAGTAAAAGTTTAGGTATTCAACTAACTGAGATTCAAATGTCTCTTACTCTGAAACAATGATTTTATGTGAAATTCAAGAGAAAATGGATGACTTTTTCGTTACAAAAAATAGTTTAGTTAGTAATTTCGTTCTACCTAAATAAAATTAACTTTTTCATTAAAAAGAAATTAGCAACAAAAATGGAAGTTGAGTATCCATATAATACTTTCTTTATCATATTTTAGTTGGGATTATATTTTTGACTTGATTCTAATATTAATATTTATTTATATTAGTGGAAGAATTGGGAATTAAAGAGTTGATGCCAGCTTATCGTGACCCCAATTTGCAAGTTGAAGATCTTAAAACTGGAGTAAGCTTTGCCTCAGGAGCTAGTGGATATGACCCTCAAACAGCTTCTATTGTGGTAAGTATTAATACTTTTTTATATTTACGTTTAAAGACAAAAAGACACAATTAAAGTTGTCATGTATTTGCATAAAGACACCTTAACTTTCAAAGTGTCCTATCACCCCACATAACTATTTAATATCGTTGTAAATGGGCCATTTTGACCCATTCCCTCGTCTGGGTTGTTACCACGCACATGAGGCGCGTCATTCAATGTTTTCACTGCCATGGACCAGTTTAAAAGTGCCACGTGTCATTTTCTTTCTTTATTATTAATTATTTAATCAATTTATGTCATCTTCCCCAATTTTAAACCCAAAATAGCCATTGGTAGCCCTAATTTTTCGATTTCATGGTTTTTTCCATAGCAAGATCAAGTGATTTCAAACACCTCTCTCTCCCACTTCTCTCTTGCAACCGCCTTTGCCTTTCTCTGTTATCTTCTTCACTCCAACAACACTAAACCCCAATAAAACAAGAGATTTCAATTCAGTACAGTTGCCCCTACCGACTAGTAGTTGGTGTATGGAATCTGAAAAACAACACATTGCATTCCGTTTCTCTTCTTGAATTTGTGCGACTTGGAGTTTGACTGGATGAGCTCCCCATGCCTTTATTAGGTGAATTCAACCACTTTTGAATTTTGTTCAAAGAACAGGGTCGGGTCGGGTCGGATTGAATTTTATCATAGGGAGTGAGCAACACGCGCGAATACATAGACGAGGGAATGGGTCAAAATAGTCCATTTACAAAGATATTAAATAGTTCTGTAGGGTGATAGAACACTTTGAAAGTTAAGGTGTTTTAATGCAAATACGGGACAACTTTGATTGTGTCTTTATATCTTTACTACTCTTTATTCATATATACCATCCAAAAAATATTCACACAATAGGATCATTTAAAATCTAACAAGTTTAAGTGGTCTATACTTAAGAAAATGACAAAATAATCCCTTATGTTTAATGATAGCTTCAAAATAGTCCCTTAAGTATCACCAAAACAGTTTTCATCCTTTTAAGTTTATAAAAAATGATTACTTTTTGTCTCTTTCAGATATTTACCAAACGATCAAAATTGATATTTTTTTCCAAAACTAGAAACATCAAGTTTTTTTTAAAAAAAAATATCCAAAAACCACAACATAAAAAACTACATCAAACACAAAAAAAAAAAACAAAAAAAAACAAATATTGCACTAGACTCTTGAAAGAGATTAACGATATCATCTATTTTCACAATTCTGATTAAATTCAATAATTAACATTTGATAAATATTTAACGAATACAACAAAAGTTCATCTTTGATAAATTTAAAGGACCAAAACTGCTCAAATAATATTTAAGACACCATTTCAAACCTACCACCAAAATTTAAAAATTCATTTTCTCATCTATACTTAGTATATAATAATTTAGGTGATTACCTTTTCAACATATGTCCAACATGTAAATTACTTTTATACCATCATATAAACTCATCATAGTATTCAATCTAGTAAAGTTTAAATTTCATCATTTTTCTAATTATATTTTTTTATGATGAATTTTTTTCAGTCAGTAATACCACTATCTACACAATTAAATTATTTTGAAGAATATATTGGAAAGCTAAAGGGATTAGTTGGAGAAAAAGAAGCCAACAAGATAGTAAACAACAGCCTATACTTAGTGGTAGCAGGCAGCAATGACCTTGCCAACACTTATTACACAATTGGATTAAGACAAAAACAGTATGATATTGACTCATATACTGATCTTATGGTGGACAAAGCTGAAGATTTTATCCAAGTATGTATATGAATAATTAATTTTTTTACTAATTTATTGCAATTTATGATACGTATTTTTTAACGGGCTCTGAATCAACTGTTAGGATATATTGTACACTATTGTGTGTACCTTTGAGCTATCTCAAGGCTTTTGAGCTCTATGGTTTTGTCCCCTTGGGCTTTAACTCAAAAAATGTCTCCATGAACCATAACTTTTCATTGATTTGCACGTTTTGTCCTTTAAATGGATTACCCTTCAAACGAACGGGTACGGGCACGGACATGGAATAGGGGCAAAAGTGTAAATAACCCATAACTTTCCCCTCTCATTGTCAAAATCATAGATCCAAATGAATGAGATAAGAATTTTATGTCTTACTCATCCAGTGTTGTTCGGATTGAATTTCAAAGTAGAAAAATTCCTTGTCGTAACCTACACGAATGGTGTAACAACTGTCTTGTTGTGTGTGACATGAACTAAGTGAAATTAAATTCTCCAAGAAGAATGTGTCCTAAGACAAGTTTTATAGCAAACCCCCTTTCAAGCTCACTAGCCCCTCCTTACGAACTCGGCGTCTTCCTTGAGGTTTACCCCACCACCGTAGTTGGAGAAGTATGACTCTGATACCACTTGTAACAACCCAAGTGCATCACTAAGGTATTGTCCATTTTGACCCGACTCCTTTGGGCCTCCTTAAATCTTTTGGTCCTCATGGTTTTGTTCTCTTGGACTTTAATCCAAAAGACACCTTGACAGTTGATTCTTGAACTCACCCTTACCACGTATCTTCTAATTCGCATCAATAATTTGCAACTTGAGTCATAAGCACATATTTTTTTTAAAAACAAATTTATACCACTAGACAAAGTGCATGCCATCAACACATCAATTTGCTATAGTCAATTTTATTTATTCATCTTTTTTTAAATTTGGAAGGAATTGTACAAGTTGGGAGCAAGGAAAATAGGTGTTTTTGGGATTCCACCAATTGGATGTATGCCATGCCAAAGAACACTAAGTGGAGGTTTAGGTAGACTATGTGTGGAAGAACACAATCAAGCTGCACAATTGGCCAACACTAAGATTTCACTTGCCCTTAATGGTTCACTATCCAAGAAGTTGCCTCAATCCAAGCTGGTTTTCATTGACATCTATGATCCTATGCTTGATCTCATTCTCAACCCTCAAAAATATGGTAAACTTTAATATTTTTCAAATTCATACTTTTAAATTTGAATCTAGTAACGTTCAAATTCTGGATCCACCTCTGACTGTGGAATGTGGATGTACTTTAGTATATAAAAGAGAAAACCTTACTTGTCTTCTAATTTAAGTGTTAAAAGAAAAATGTTACTCATATATTGTATCAAAGGTGCAAAATGTGTTTCATTTTGTTTATATAATTTTCGGGTACGTTTGTATTATCAGGATTTGAAGTGGTAGATAAAGGATGCTGTGGTACAGGAAACATAGAGGTAGTCATATTATGCAACAGATACATGAGTAGTACATGTGAAGACGGCTCGAAATATTTGTTCTGGGATAGTTATCATCCCACTGAAAGAGGCTACAGGATCCTTGTTGATCAAATGATCAAAAAGTATATCAATAGGTTCATGTGAAACATGAATATCAAGATTGAGGATATTTCTTCCTCCAAATGTTGAAACAAAACGCGAAAAACAAGTTTGCGCCTTTTCATCCATCCTTCATGATCACTGTCCTAATATCTGTTCTTTTTCTTAATGTTCTTTTATACAGAATGTGTTTGTGTCCTACTCTGTATATCTTATCTTTTTTTTCATTTAGATACCTTAAAGGATTTTGTATTAGTGTGATTGAATAAAGTCATAGTGTAAAGACTCTTTTTTATACTTGTACAACATTCTCAAATATCGCATCAGTAGCTAACGAGAAGCCAATGTGTACTAGTTGACATGTTAGTTCAAGTTCCATGTTCTATTTCTGTTATAATTCCAACTAAAGGTAAGTTGTTTGGTATCCACTTTTTGTCACTATGCTTTTTCAGGGAGGCTTCGTCGATGACTTTTGTTCACATTTTGTGTGTTGTTGCTGTGCAACTAGTCCAAGAACAGAACGGAGGTGGAGTCTGGAGATGACGAGATTATCTGGTGCCATTTCTTTACCTATTAGTGTTTCTTACTGTGAACTAAAGAAGAGTTATATTATATGAAAAAAAACAAATACTTCACTCTACATTCCAATTAAATCAAGAAAGGGAAACAAGATAAATATGTCTTTTGCTCAGAATAAACAGACTTAAACAATCAAGAAAATCAAACAAATTAAAGTTCTTCATCACCTAACGAATCTGCAGTCTAGTCTAACTTCTTGTCCATTACCACTGATACTACTCATCTTGATCATAGAATTGGCGAATGCTTTAAAGAAGTCATCTTGAGAGCTAGCATACTTTGAAACTAGTCTTTTGGTCCTTGAATTTGTGAGTAGAGATTCATCTGAAGTGAAAAGGCTCTTGCCATTCATTAGTAGCTTGTAGTAGGCGTTGTCGAATAAAGTTGTTGTAGAATCCATCGTGGCACCTGCATTTCTGACCTTGTTATGCGCGGGGCAAATGTTCTGTAGACTGGCTGCAAATGATGCTTGTAATGTTGGATCAACATTGTGACGTTTGTCGAATTTGTGGATTCTGTTTTGGAAGGAAGAACAATGAGAGAATCCAAGAGTATGTCCTCCTGTTATCAAAAACAAAACAAATAGCAATTTTGTCACGAAAGAAATCTTGAGTCGTTATATATAGTTCAAATCGAGGGCTGTTAATACTAGTAAAGAAGAAGAGAGTTGCTTACCTGAAAGTGCAACCAAATCATCCAAAGAAAGTCCTCTTTGGGCAAAGTTTTGTTGCAGTTGAGACATGTTGAACGTTGGAGAAGGTAATTGTCGCGTTTCAGTGGCTTTAGAGACTCTTCCATCTTTTCGACCTTTAGGAACTTCCCAAGTAGGACCTCCAGACTGAAACAAATATGTCCAAAAGTATTAATTTCATGTTAATGGAGAAGTAACATTGCCTTTTTTGGCTGCTAGGAATATTTTTCTTATGGTAATTAATATCATGTAATTCATTTATAGAACTTACAAGAGCAACAGCATCACGAGCAGCGAGAGCAACAATATCAGCACAAGAGACAACTCCAGGGCACAAGTCCTCGATTTGTTTCTTAACAACATCGATGACATAAAATGCGTGCAATGAAATGTTAGGAGGTCCATCTTTCTCTGCTTTGTTGTTTCTTGTTGAGTTCAGCAGCACAGAGCCATCACAACCCTTTCATTATACATAAAAACACATACAATTAGTTACTATATAACTAGCAAGAGTCAAAAAGTAGGGATCAAAGAAGTAGAAATTTACTCTAACGAAACAATCATGGAAATGCATCCTTAAAAGCGCTGCTGGAACTGTTTTATCATTCAACATAGCATTCTTGACAACTTTGGTAATTGTTGACTCTGCATTAGGACATGTTTGGTCGTAGTAATCGGAGCTCAGTGCCTTAACTTCAGTACAAAACAATACAAAAGCAAAGAGTAAAGCAATACAACATGTTGGTACTGTCATCATAACTAATTCTGTTTGCCAAATTAGTCTATCTTTCTTTATGCTTAGTTTGGATTTAGGACTTTGTTGTGAGCCATTAGGATCACATACAATGTGCATTTAAAGGGAAGAGATTGTAATAGCAGACACAAAACTACACAAAGAGTTGTTACTGAAATTATTGGTTATGTTTGTTAGTAAGTTTGGTCAGCTAAAACCATATGCAATAACGAGTTCTCGTTATCAGGTCAATGGAAGTGGAGGAAGAAGATTCACTTTTAGGTTTGAGTAGCAGTTACAAAGTGCAGTTTCTGATCAGGCAAGCAAAATGACTTAACTTTTACTTACTTTAAACAGAGGAATATTGTTGTTGCTTTAGTGGATATGGTTGAATGAATAAAGTATAGATTGATTGATGACTATTATATAGTTTTTGGAGTTTTAATATTCAGAAAATACTAATATAACACATGACCATGTTTATGAGCCTATTTTGCAGGGCCATAAATAGTGGATTCTGGTCAACTACCTTTGTCACTGTCTGTTCTCGAAAAAAACTTACTCACATCTCGTGTTTATACTAACCTGATGAATGCATAACATGTGTTTTCATATTAGTTAATTAGTACACATTCTCGACTTAATTTATCACTTTAGTCATAGTAGATTTATATGGTTTGATGAAATCAACGGAGAATTTTACCCTGTGTTGACAACCACTAGGCAAAATTTCAAAAAGGGTTGTTATTCGACATTAAGGTTTGCCCCTTGATCATGTCACATCATTTCCTAGCTGTAATAAACGTATTAGTATTCGTAGTATTACTGGACAATGATATAGTAATTCTTAGAGAAACCATATTATTTGTGCAGCATTGCATCATGTGTAGCAAAAACTAGAGAAATTTTAGTTTTCTTGGATCGCGATTGCTACTAGTTCTTGCAAATCTCTCACATAACCTACGGATAGTTGTTTATTTTGGCATTTTTGGTCATTTTAACTACTTTTTCTTCAGTAAACTAACGCGTAAAATAGAAACTTTAAGTCCAACTTCCATGTTCTTTTTGTACTATAGTTCAAATTAAAAGGTAAGTTCTTAGATTGTCACCTCTCACTATGCTTTTTCAGGTAGGCATCGTCGATGCCTTTTGTTCACATTTTCTGTGTTGTTATCTGTGCACCAGTCCAAGAACAGACGGAAATGGAGAGAAAGGAGGTTATCAGGTTTTAAATTCTTTACCTGTTAATAAGTCTTTATTATTGTGAAGTAAAGAGCATCAAGAAAAATATTCCCATTGTGTTAATGGTCAGTTAAACCTGATTTTCATTTCTATAGATTTTCCAGTGTTGTTCGATTGGAGGCCGTTATAAACCAACTTAATGAATACATAACATACGTCTTCACATATACTGTTATCACAAATCGTAGTTCATAATACATACTCTCCCCTAAATTTATCTCCGAGTCATAGCATATTAGTATAGTTTGATGTAAACACCGGATGCCTTGTATACTTCTGCGGTTCTGCCATACAAAAGTTGTTACACCACAAAATTCTTCTTCATTTAAGCCCAAATTTTTACTCACACTACATTTGAATTAAATCAAGAAAGACAAAACATGCTGTTATAAACACCACACCAATTCTTCTTTGCTCAATATAGTACATCATCAATCAAGAAAATGAAACAAATTAAGGTTCACCAATACAATAATTAAATGGCCTGAGCCTGAGAAATTTGTCGTTTTAACAAGGTCACCGATCACCTAACGAATCTGCAGTCCAGTCTAACTTCTTGTCCATTACCACTGATACTACTCATCTTGATCATCGAATTCGCGAATGCTTTAAAGAAGTCATCTTGAGAGGTAGCATACTTTGAAACTAGTCTTTTGGTCCTTGAATCTGTGAGCAGAGATTCATCTGAAGAGAAAAGGCTATTGCCATTCATTAGAAGCTTGTAGTAGGCGTTGTCGAATAAAGTTGTTGTAGAATCCATTGTGGTGCCTGCATTTCTGACCTTGTTGTGCGCGGGGCAAACGTTCTGTAGACTGGCAGCAAATGATGCTTGTAGTGTTGGATCAACATTGTGACGTTTGTCGAAATTGTGGATTCTGTTTTGGAAGGAAGAACAATGAGAGAATCCAAGAGTGTGCCCTCCTGTTAGCAGAAACAAAAAGCAATAACTTTGTTACCAAAGAAAATCTTGAGTCTCTCGTTTCTATATTTAGAAACAGTTTAACTTTAAACCCTCGTTTTTCCCTTAATGAGATAATTTATAGCTACACAAAGTTGACTTGTTTTTAGGCCACAATTTCCAAAGTTATATTTTCCTTTCTTGAACTCCGTATCCATTCAAATTGCATCACATGAAATGGGACAGATGGAGTATATCTTTAAATTTCTGAATTTGATATGTTCAACCATTAAGATTCTTAGTACTGAAATATCAAGTTCAGAATCAATGCCTAAAGGCTGCATCTGCCTTGGGTTAGAAGAGAGGCGGATCTATGAGTTCAAATCAGTAGGATGGTGTCTAAGACACTACTACTTTACGACACTGAACACAAAATTTGTGTGTCTATGGATATACATGTATCGAAAGCTGTGAATACAGTAATAGAACAAGAGAGTTGCTTACCTGAAAGTGCAACCAAATCATCCAAAGAAAGGCCTCTTTGGCGAAAGTTTTGTTGGAGCTGAGAAAAGTTGAACGTAGGAGAAGGTAGTTGTCGCGTTTCAATGGCTTTAGAGATTCTTCCATCTTTTCTACCTTTTGGCACTTCCCAACTAGGACCTCCAGACTAACACAATATGCACAAAAAAGTATAACAATTTCACATTTGGTATATTTTTTATGGTAATATCATGTTTGTGTTATTCAATAGCGAGTAGAACTTACAAGAGCAACAGCATCACGAGCAGCGAGAGCAACAATATCAGCACAAGAGACAACTCCAGGACACAAGTCCTCGATTTGTTTCTTAACAACATCGATGACATAGAATGCGTGCAATGAGATGTTAGGAGGTCCATCTTTCTCTGCTTTGTTGTTTCTTGTTGAGTTCAGCAGCACAGAGCCATCACAACCCTTTCATTATACATAAAAAAAAACACATACATTTAGTTACTATATAACTAGCTAGAGTCAAAAAGTAGAGATCAAAGAAGTGGAAATTTACTCTAACGAAACAATCATGAAAATGCATCCTTAAAAGCGCGGCTGGAACTGTTTTATCATTCAACATAGCATTCTTGACAACTTTGGTGATCGTTGACTCTGCGTTAGGGCATGTTTGGTCGTAGTAATCGGAGCTCAGTGCCTTCACTGCAGTGGAAAACAATGCAAAAGCAAAGAGTAAAGCTATAAAACATGTTGGTAATGCCATCATAACTAATTCTGTTTGCCAAATTAGGCTATGTTTGTTTATGCTTAATTTGGATTTATGACTTTGTTGTGAGTCATTAGGATCACATACAATGTGTATTTAAAGGGAAGACTACAGAGGAAGTTGTTACTGAAATTATTGGTTATGTTTGTTTGCAAGTTTGGTCAACTAAAACCATATGGATTAGGAGCAGTTTAACATTCTTAATTTAATTTCTTCTTTGTGAAGCACATTCATTTTGTTTAACCTCAAGTGATCCCAATTCTATTTGTTTTTACTGATTTTAGTTGCCATTTAGAGACTAAGGGGATGTTAACAGTGGCGTAGCTACATTGACCGAAAGGTGGTCATTTGAACACCCTTAGTCGAAAAATTATACAATGCATATAGGATATAATAATAATGTGTATATTAGTCAAAATCAACTTTCTAGAGATACATACTAAAGTTTCGTACATTCTTAGCAAATTTTTTAGCTTCACCATTATTGGATGTTTGGTTCGGAGATAAGTAATATATTGGAATTACCTCCAACCCTAATGTTGTGGGTTCGAGTCACCAAAGAAGCAAAAAAAGTAAGAGCTCCTACGGAGAGTTAGAAAAAAAAAAGGGGGGGGGGTTGTTTTGGTATAATATTTATGCCGGTTTACATTAATATCAATAACCAAACACAGGATAAATGTAATCCTAAATTTTATACCGGATTTAGTATCCTAATTAATCCGTTAACCAAACGAGCCCTTAGAGTTGACCCTCAAGTTTTTAACAACCCTAGGATAGTGAATGTGGTTGATCACCATAAGCAACAATTGTCCAACTATTATACTAAAGAGAGTATATTATAAAAATAATTGAGAATTTTAAGTTGTTAGTAGGTAGGAAAATTATGTATGCATGCAGTGGCTTTTGATTTAAGCTTCACTTTTAGGTTTGACTAGCTAGTTGCTAAAAGTGCAGTTTATGAGGCAAAAAAAATGACCAACCTTTTCACTTACTTTAAAAAAAGGAATGTTATTGTTGCATTGGTGGTTATTGGGTTAGGTTTGAACTAATAAAGTATACATTGATTGATGAATTGACCATTTTTTAGGAGCATATCAAAGGCATAATATATAAATATACACTCAAACTTGGCCTCAGCTGACTAAGAACTTTAATTTTGAGAGTGCACATCGTCTAGACACCTCAACTTGATCTTTAACTGACAATTAAACACTCCAACTTTTCTCCATTGTGTCTCGTGGACATGTAACGGTTACATGATACATAAAGTTTGGAGGTGTCTAGATTCATGATCATTTTGTAAGTTGGAGTTTCAACTGACACTGTGGAAACGAATTAAGACATCTAGATGTACATATTTGAAATTAGACCAATGTTATATTAATTTAACAGTTGAAGTCAAGTTTGAATGTATGTTTATGTATTATTTCAGGAAGATTTTACTGTTTTAGGTCATCATCACCAATTCCCAAAGTAGAAAAGGAAAAAAAAAACCTTCACTTCTTTCAACAACAATTCTTTTTTGCTACAAAGCAAAAATGTTTGTACTCAAAATGATAAACAAGATCATATATAAATATATATATATATATATATATTGTATACAAGATGTATATAACATGAAAATAGTCATATTACAAAGGTACAAAATATATAGAGCAAATTGAAAATTATTGATGT